AGTTATGGTGCAGTAATAATTTAGTTAATGTGGTTCTCATCGGTTTTGCTATGAAAGCTAACGGTTGACTCGATAGTTGTGGAGCCAACTTTCTATATATAACAAGTAAACCATATCATATTAACAAATTCGTAACCATCCTAAAGTTGATTGACCCACAAATGGGACTATTATCTCTTTCTCAATTTTCGTATTTCAGTATCATGTTTCATTTCGTTGAATGAATAACACGTGTACAAATATACGACGCCAGCAAAATGCCTATAATTCAAGAGTTCAATGTGATATGGTTTACTTTTTTAGACCACAAAAGATGCTTGTGATGAATTAATTGTATTTGAAGAAAATGTGATTTGACTGTATTTGAGAGAAAGTGGTGTTGCCGTGTAGCGGATGTAAAGTGAGTCAAAAGTCCTGTGACAGATGGTTTGTTTGTTCTACTTTGGCCAAATAACAATTAAAGGCATTAAATATCTAATAGTACCTCTCGTCAAAGGTAAATGTACAGTTGCCCACCTGTTGAAAGCACACTTTATATATGTTAATCATATAATGGGAGCTGACGAAGAGGGTTAGCGCAGTGGCATGTACCTTCGCTCGGCGTGTATCATGTCCCGAGTTCGAGTCACCCGGGGGGAATTGGGGTATTGATCCCCCTTATTTTAAGGAAAAAAAAATCATATAATGGGAGCTTTCGATTTATCGATGACTGTAGTGCAATAATCGAGATTATTGTCGAGGCTTTCGAATTTCGATCCACCATTAACTGCAGTGCAATAATCGACTTTTAGCGTTGGATCAGTAGATGTGTATTGATCCAACGGATAAACATAGCAGTATAGAATCTAACTTTTCACACATCTGATTTTTAGCTCAAAAACCGTTAATCACCAAATTACAGCGTGAGATTCAAACTCATTAACTAATCAACCTGTACTAGTACAACACCCGTGTGTTACCCGGGTGCTTGTAAAAAAATTATTCATTGAAAAAAAAATGTTTTCAAATTTACTTATTTTTTTACAAAAATATATATTATTATTTAATTTATAATGACATTTGTTACTTGTGCGATTTATGTGTGTTATATTATAGTAATTTCTTAACTTATATCATATAACTACTTGAAACATAAATATATTAATTGATAAATAATATTATTCTTGTTATAAAGATAAATATAATTTATTTTTTATATATACAATATCGATGTTAAATTGAAGATGATTAATTTGATATATTATATATGTAAAACCGATAAAAAACACAAAAATTATTAACTTTCAAAATACATTTACAACTCAATGGTTATTATAAGAAATGATATTAAAATTCAATTAATACCTACAACATGACCATAAATAATCAACCTATTTATTGATAGTCCGAACCTAATTATTTTTGGTTTGAGAATAAATTAAAATCTAACCAAGCCAAATAATGAAGCATGTAATTTCGCAACATAAGATCCCAAAATATGCGAGCCTACCACTTAGGCTCAGCACGTTTTGAATTAATATATAGGGGGATTTTCATAAACAATGTGGATAAGGATATAATTAACTCCAATGATAAAGTCAATATGCCTTTCCCTTCTAAGCTGCAACGCACACATATTATAACAGAGCATCTGGCTTTATGCATTGTATGATAGAAAGTACAGACAATTCATGAGCCTATATATGCACTCAACATACATGTGGTCCCATCTGTTTTTCTGTTAAGAAATAAGGTCTCGATATATTTTGCAGCCGGACAAGTCGAGTCAAATGAAAAATCTCTCATAATCGGTTGCAAAAGGGACAATTTAGGTGAAGAGGAATTGGCAAAATATGCATAACAAAAACACGATGCAACCGAATAGCTAATTTCAAATGACTAAATTCCAGAGACTTCCAGATAACAAGTCATAGCATAATAGAAGTGACTTTTATATCATCTGCACATTTGCAACGACAGTCTAATAGCAAGAACAGTTGGTCATTCTTCCAAACATTTCCATGTTTTACTTTGACAGATGATTGAATACAACTTTAGTTATTAGGGGAAAACAAAAACCCAGCTTCCATGTTTCATTCAAGCACCACTTGCATACAGACGCGTCCACTCTTTAGCTGCACGATAAAACACCAAGACTCCATGAATTATTCAGATTACGGACAAATAGATCATCGATCACTCACTAATTTGTTTGTCTGTGTGTCTGTGTGTTGGGTTGTGTTGGGGGTGGGGTGTCTTAGTGCTTATAGTTGGGAAATAAAGCACACCTGTTTCAACAGCTTCAGACTCATTCGATTTCCAATGCTTGGCAATGTTTTCAGAGAGTGGGTCATCAGGATTTGGAGCACTCAAAAGTGCTTGTATGCTAAAATAAGCAATAGAATAATATAAATAAATATTTCGAAAAAATTGCAACATAAATAATCATAATTAAAAGACTTGAAGAAGAAAATATATAGAAGCCTTCACTGGAACTTGCCACATGGGAAATGCTTCAATCATATAAGATACCTCAAAAGTACAGTTCTGATCTGAAGGGCTGGACTCCATTTGTCCTTGAGAATATCTAAGCATATCCTTCCAAGCTGCAAGTCAATTAGACCATTATAGATGTGCCGCTAATGGATGAAAGCGAGGTATCAAAACTAGGAATAACATACCTTATCAATGTTAGGGTGGTAGATTTTCGTGAGGAAGCGAACCTGTTGGGCGTTGGATTAAAAACAGTTAGGCAAGTATTTCAAGCTACACGGATACAATTTTACTTCTGAAAAGCTTTTTAAGGTTCGCAACGTATAAATCCTGTTTCAAAGCAAAGCTACTTTTAGTTCACTGGATTAACATGTTGTAATGAAAAACTAAAACAGGCCAATTTAGCAGCCACACAGTTACTGCAAGTTGTTTCCCCAAGTTGCAAATAATGCTCTGACTATTGGAGAACCTACAATGGGGTCGTGAAACTAAATCAGTCACAAATGCTCAGACTGATTGTTGCTTAAACCCATGATTAGAGTGTTTTCTGAAATGAACACATGATGTAAACTATTTGAGCCTCCAACATACTTTGACTCAAGCAGTTGAACGAACAAATTTAATGTCTCTAAATGTATCAAAAGGGGACCCAGGCAAGAGAATGGATCAGGTAATTTAATTGCTCAACAGGGTCAGGGTTTTTATCCTTGGAAGTTCATAAGTTAGGCAAATGGCAAACCATCTGATCTTCCCAAGTCCATGGAAAGAATAAAGCAAATAAGCCCGCATACGAGTGCTTCTTCCTAGCTGCTATTGAATCCACGGACTTCTTTTGGTAAGAATCAATCCTAAATCCTTTATTTTCTTGCTGGAAGAACGTGTGAATGAGGATTGACCTATCGCTAGTTCCACTCATCACTGGACCCTTGACTTTCAAAAAATCGGACGAAGCGGAGAACAGTGTAATTGTGTATGACCTCAGTCGTGAGCGAGAGACTGCTCGTACCATAATACGCTCATTTCTTCTACGTTTTTCTTTATGTGCCTGAAGTTGGTGCCATGGTTCATTTCTAATTGATAGATGAGGAGGCTTTACAACTATACTATCCTAGAGCTGGACAACTGACTGGACTAACTCGCTAGGACTAAACAAGTTCATAAATGAGAAGGCAAACTTAAAAGCTAAATTCTTAGCCATCATTAGTTCCAGGTAAGAGTAGAAGTTGGAAACTCAAAGCTTGGCAAGCATATAGTTTTGGGTGAAAGAAATGGGTGGTATTGGCGTAATATAGTAGTGGACCACCAAACAAAATGTCGACTACAAGAGCAACAGCTTCAAAAACCACAATTTAATAATACCATTGCGAAAATGATGGCGACATATTTACTTCAGTAAAATAAATCAAGACCAATATAATGCATTAATGTAGAACAGCGTTCAGCGGGATATCTTTCCAACTGTATCAAACTATGACAGCCACAAAGCAGTGGTCAATAAAATTGCATACCACTCATATTGACTGATAGAATAGGCTCAAAGTACATAGATATCAGTAAGACGAGATCGCTACTACCAAGGTGCATGTGACAAATAATTACTTGATACCCGTATTCATGTGTGTGCCTACAGGGAATAAAAAAATATACTAAATAACTTCAAAATAGTTACCTTCGGAGCAGCCATGGGGTATTCCTCAGGTAAAAACAGCTCCAGCTTAAAAACCCCTCCTGTAAGTAAGACCAACGAGATGAAACGGGTACAAACGGTATTAACTGTAAGCAAGATAAAGAGAAAAAAAAAAGGGAAAAGAGCATATAATCTTCCATGCAACCATAAGGCAAAAGAACAAAGGTCACAGATTCTAAATACAGTTACATCTACTATGTTTTATCGGGGATCCAACACACAGAGATATAAATGAATGAAAATGACTTAATGTGACTGCTAGTTATGAAATATTATACATGATTATCAACACCCATGGGAAGAAGAGATGGCATAAATGCCTTCTAAAATGTTCAATGTGTTCTAGAATCTGATTGTCGCCAATAATTGTAACCACAGTATCACACCTAGTCATCGGAATGAAGCGATATTTATTTATCTATTTAATTACGTTGAACATCTAAAACAATGTGACCTCAAATTGCGTGCAAAAGAAAATTGTTAAGCAAAGAAAACAAACTTAGTCAATATTTGCACTTCACACTTCAGAGATTGGAATAGCATGGTCGACCTGTATGTTAATTTAAAAGAAAAACTGAAATGCCCAGCAACTAGGTGACTTTCAAAAACTAGAAGTTTTATAGATTTGAATAACACAAAAACTAAAGCTACCCCAAACTATGTAAAATAATCGTCATGTGTGGAGTAACACTGAGCTCATACGCACTTATACAACAAGTTCTGATAACAATAGAATCCCAATCTATCCAAAAATATCACAACTACATAATACTCATTTAGAAACACAATACAAAAGATAGTTCAATAGTCAACAGTCGAATACTGTGTTCAGAACGAGAAGTTACACAAAATGTTACCACTTCAAGAACACTGAGAACGAAGGCACAACAAGGAGACACTACTATAACATGGACATTAATTGCAGTCAAAATGCAAGCTAAGGCTACCTTCATAAGGAGACTGCGTTGGACCAAGAATCATGACATTGAAATACCGCATATTGTCTTCAGATGGAGATGCACTAATCCCTGGAGCTGCATTCATACACCCAAAACGACTCCACCACATCAAACTCATAAAATGATCTCCGACACTCAATAACCCAGTCGTCAATCCTCATTCTAATATAAGCAACGAACAAAGAGAGAAAAGAAGAAGCAAACGTTTCCACCCAGAAAGCTTCATTTCCATGTCAATCAAACCGAGAAACTATTAAGTGCGGAAAATACATCAGTGAAGCTAGGGCCAGTCCTAAACGAACCAGCAACATTCAGAAAAAAAATTCCAAACTCATTTTCATCGACTATTCCATAAACTTATAACCTCAATTTCATCATTCACATAGAAATTTACTTCAAGGCTGCTGAAATCCAAGGACTGTACCTGGTTCACTCAAAAGGCGCTGCGTCTCCTATATAGCGGAAAAAGAAGAAACACGTCAGGCAAAAATCCAATCGGCACAATCACAGATGAAGTAATCAAAATCAACTAAAACCCATACAATAACTCCTCAAAATCTAGGGTTTAGAGTTGAAGTGAAAGAGGGATCAATATTGCAAGTGGGAAGATCAAGATCGTACCTTGATAATTCTGCGCGGCAAATTGCTGTTGGCCATCGGATGGATTTGAAGCTGTTCTTCTTCCCTCAGCTCCTCTTCTCGGAAATTTTACGCAGACAAAAGGGTTCTTCCTTTCACGAGAAAATGGAAAATGGTGGTCGAGGGAGATTTTGTGGCGGTCCTATTTGCGAAAGTGCGCTTCTTTTTTGCATTTTTTTTTTCCCCATTCAATTATTTAAAGAAACTATATTTTTACCCAGAGCGCTTGGATGAGATGACTGGGTCTCTTTCAGCTTAACCAGTGATTTCGTGTTCGAGTTCTGTGAATGCAGTGTTAAAACACTTGAGAGAGAGCTTTGCCGCCTTTGTGGTCCTACCCGATTCGATTCCGGATTAGTCGGTTCTGTGAATCCAGAAACCAGAAGATCCCTGTACAAAAAAAAAACGAAACTACATTTTTTTTTTATTTTTTTTATTATTATTATTTTTTATATATTATTGTCAAACGATAGATTTCATTAACAGAAAACACTAATTACAATATTGATTATTTTTGCATTTTGCAAACTGATGTATTAGTTTATTTCATTAGTTATAGATATATATTGTATGCACACCTACTAATACGAGGCTTGTGAGTGGCCCTAGTTTAGGGCCGATATTCGCGGCCTATCCGCCTTGCCCCTCTTTTCCAACCAAGGGATTGGGACGAGTGGCTGCGACAGTGACTTTCCCGACGAAGTGGGTCGAGACTTTGGTTTCGGTTTCGGTTTTTTTTTTGGTACAGGGACCTTTCGGTTTCTAGATCCACATGGGAATCGACTAATCCAGAATTGAGCTGGATAGGACCACAAGGGTAGCACCACAAAATGCTTTCACTTTAGAGTAATGCTACAAGTACATAATATTGTACATAAGGGTGTACATAATACTCACATTGAGTGGGGGACCCACTAAAAATAAAAAATCAAGTGGACTCCACACCATGTGAGAGTTATGTACATCTATGTAGCATTTTCCTTCACTTTAAATGGAATATTGAAGCTGCACAAAAAAATAAAAAATAAAAAATAAAAAATAAAATAAAATAGACACCAATTAGCCAATTGAGACCTATAACAAATTATGAAAATTGCACTCTACTTGTTTATCATTTCTTACGTTTATTGTAGTTTTCCGAAGGATCACATTAATTTGTATTGGGCAATTTGTTAATGTGTAAAATTCATCTAATTTGTATTTGAATTTTGAGGATTATTCAACCAACTCATCTAGGCGTGTTCATCGGCCATTTTCCGCAAGCTCCATTGCATTTGTTAACCCTCACTCTCATCTTTTAATCTTCACTCTCACTTTCATTTTTTTGTAACTACAACAACCAAAATAAGAGGGCAAACTTACAAGGCTACATAATCCAATTTGAAAGTCAAAGCTCAACAAGTATGATAATTTTAGGTGAAAGATCAATAATGGCATTGGTGTAGTACGATAGAGGCCGCTACAACAAAAAAATGTTTAAAGAGATGGAGCAAACATGAAGACCAACCACAAATTACTTAGCTGGCTTGAATATATATATTCAAGCAATACCTCAAAATCAGTTGCACTACCGTGTGCCTTGGCACACCTAGCTAGGTGTGCCAAGGCACAATTGCACGCGTCTTTCACTCTCCAAAACTAGAGAAATTAGGTGAGTGTAGTGCACATCCCCAATTTTTTATTTTTAATTGAAAAATGAGACGTAATACATAAATTAAAATATCATTAATTATTTATATTAAAAAAATAAAATAAAAATACCAAAATTCATAATTTTTCATTATCTATAAATAGAGACCACATTTGATAGGTTTTTGAACACAACTAATTTTTCGTTTTATAATATGTTCACCTTATTGTGTATGTAACATGTTCATCTTATTCTATAACATGTTCATTTTATTATGTAACATGTTCATCTTATTCTATAACATGTTCATTTTATTAATGTAACATGTTCATCTCATTTTATAACATGTTCATCTAAATTTCATCTGTGACAATGTAACATTTTCATCTTATTAGAGAGAATTTTGGTTTGTGAAGGTGGAGGATATTCGATCGAAAGACTAATTTATGGAATTTCTTTTACATTCTACTAGTTTTTCACTTTCATTCCCTATAGTATGACTATTGCATAAATTTGAGTTCTTAACTGTAGATTATGATTTATTATTTCAGGGCGGGGATGCTTGCATTAAACGAGTGAAAGTCGTGCAAGAAATTGACCAGAATTTTGTGTATGAAGTGAAAATGGGAGAAAATAATGTGAGAGCCCGTTATGTAGATATGGAATCTAAACATGTTCAGCTTATTCTATAACATGTTCCTTTTATTATGTAACATGTTCATCTTATTCTAT